AACCAGATGCAGCGTACCAAGAAGGGGGAGGATATGGAGCGATAGCGAGGCTCAAAAAGACGTGTCCCGAACCTCATCGGGAGGTGGCTGAACGCGACTGTCAAAGGATTTGTTTTTGAGGTTTCTGTGTTGCAAGGGTTCCTGCAAGTTCCATCATTTGGGGACAGGCAATGCAGGCTAGCCTTACCTTACGTGTACAAACGAGCAAGGCATGCATGTGCTTACATGTTTGTCGCTGAAGCGATCGCTGTTCCCAGCATGAAGTGCGACTGTTTCAGCACAGCAGATTGTGTTAGTTACTTACATCAATGCGTGTCTGGTCCTCATAAGAGTTCAATTGTGGAGATGGATTTTCTCCCCGAAAGTGTCGAGGTGGTGTTTGAAGCTTCCCACAAGTGGTCCCGCACCTTCTTCAGATTGCTGCAATGGTCTCGCCGGCATTTCGGGTTGGAGTGGCGGAGATGAAAGGATGGCGACCAAGCATGGAGGATGCCCACGTTATTTATGCCCAAGATACCTGGGGATTCTTCGGAGTCTTCGACGGTCATGGAGGTGACCAGTGTTCTGGTTTCATAGCCAGACGCATCAAAGAAGAGCTTGCAAAAAACGGAATGCCACAAAGCGACGAAGCTGTTACAGAATTGGCCGNNCAGCCCAGTCTCTGCAGTGTGTAGGCATTGAAGTTGGAGTGCAAATTGAGCTGCTCGCTGGAGTATTGACAGGTATTCCGCTTAGACAAGGAGTTTTTGGACTCCAAACAGCCCAGCGGATCGACAGGAACCTTCGTCATTGTCCAGAAGCCAAGTGCTCCTGGAGGCATCTTGGCTTCCAACCGCTCGTGTCCTGCAGCATGGCTGTGATGCGGGGTGTCGAGAGTAGATTGAGGCAACTATAAGCTCCGAGTGGGCAACATTGGCGACAGCCGTGTGCTTCTGGGGCGTGCTGATGGTTCGATTTTCCCCGGGAATGGAACTGAGAGCGCACTCACAACGGACGCGCAGAGCTTCAAACAAGTGCATAGTCGGAACGGTCTGTAAAGTTCCTGTTTTCGGCGCCAGTGTGGTGAGGACCATAAGCCAGACCTTGAGCGCGAAAGAGCCCGGATTGAGCGCGCTGGCGGGAACGTGCAGGAAGTCCGTGTCTTAGATGCCGTGCTACTGCAGCATGTGTTCGGTGTGCAATGGCAGAAGCCAGGTAATGGGAGTAGCGCGGGTGAATGGAAGTTTGGCCGTTAGCCGTTCCTTCGGCGATGCTGAGCTGAAGAACATGGGAGGCCTGTTCGATTCCTGTTCTCAAGTCGGCTGTAGTCTAAACCCTGAGCATCATTCGGAATCGTGCCA